TCAATATTTCTCTCTCTCTCTCTCCTGGTTGATGAATTGATCATTGGAAAAAAAGTGAAAAAATCTGGTCGAAAAAAAAGAAACATCAATTCTGTTTGCTAGCAAAAAAATATGTTACTTTCCATATGATCTATCTATTATGGTTGTTGTCTGTCTTTGCTATAATTCTCTTGTCGCCAAAAAAAATATGGCGAGAAAAAATAATAACCGAATATAAATTAAAATTATTCATTTCATTCATTTCCCCATTCGCTACTGATGATTATGATTATGGTTATGATTATGAGCATCATCATCATTTTCATTCAATTCACTTAGAACAAGTATAGAATCTTCAATTGGAAAGTAAAAAATATGCAAAAAATAACCTAGGCTAACTATAGAAATGATCATCATCAAGATGATGATTATTACCATGATTCAAAGAAGTGCCAAAAAATGAATGAATGAATGAATGAAATGAAAGAATTGAAAATTCGACCGGTTAAATTTGCATATTTTCATTTTTTCGTTTTTTTTTATTTTCGTTCATCATGAATCTTAGAATATTTCGGCAGAGAGAAAGTAAGAATTGAGAAAGTTGAATTTTGAATAATAATTTTGCCAAAAAAAAGAAAGATATGATGATGATGATGATGATCAAGAATAAGGCACAAATATAATGAGAATATTCTTATTATTAATAATGAAAAACTTGAAATAAAAAATATGAAATTCATACTTTATGATTCTGATTCTGTTTCTTTAATGATGATGATGATGATGATAATTGAATTCTTTTTTTTTCCTCGTTTCCAGTGATGTTTTTGTGTGTGTGTGTGTTGATGTCACTCACATCTAGAGCATATAAATGCCATTCAGTCAGTGATTCAGTGATTCAGTGATTCAGTGATTCAGTCATTCATTGAGATTTCAATGAATAAAATGATTTTCTTGTTTTTCGTTTTTTGCAGATGTAATTTGAGATATTGTATAACATTTGATGAATATGATTTTTTTTCTCGTTCATAATTTTTCAACCAAAGTAAAAAATCTTATTAATGATTATTATTAACTATAGTGAGTGAGGAAAAACATGAATATCATCTGCGATTAATCAGAAAAATTCCTTTAACTTCTTAAGAATTTGTTTTCTGTGCGGTTATTTTTAACTACAACCAAATTGTTTTTTAGAAAATGATTTGAATGATTCATTTCGTACGAATCTGAATTGTCCATTCCAAAAAAATCCAAAAAAAGTCATTATTCTTTCATTGATCTGATTCATCGAAATCTCGTTGTTGTTGAATCCAGAATATTCTGTTTGATTCTAAAGATTGATCATCATGAAAAAACGAATCAAAGAATCCAATGATGCTCATATCATAGCCATATAATAATGAGAAGAATGGAAAAAGATTGAACAAACCGAACATCACACACACACACAGACAGAAAAAAATGAACAGAATTTTCATGAATGAAAATATGTAAATATTATGCATCATCAACAACAACAACATCGACGACGACAACAACAACAACAACAAAACATTGATGATGACAGAATGAATGAATGAATGAAAAAATAGATGAAAGATAGAGAATGAGAATGAAGAAGAAGAAAGAATATGAACAACAAAAAAAACACACAGAAAAAATGTATGTATATGAACATGGTGAACATCACTGTTGATGTTGTTGTCGATGATGATGTTGATGTCGAAAATATCCGGTAAAAGCAAAAGAAAGTGAAAAGATTGCTTATTTGTAAATTGTTTTTCTGTATATATTTAACACTCCGACATACACCAAGGATTCTTGTTTGAGAAAAAAAAATTCTGATGAATAAAAAAAAACTAAGTGAACATAACAACAACAGCAATTTTTTTCCTTCTTCGTCGCTTTTGTCTGTGAAGATTTATAAATTTTTTTTTTTTTTTTTTTTTTTTTTTTGGGAAAAAAAAAAAAAAAAAATTTTTTTTTCTTTTTTTTTTTCCCACACATTTTTNTTCTTTCATTGATCTGATTCATCGAAATCTCGTTGTTGTTGAATCCAGAATATTCTGTTTGATTCTAAAGATTGATCATCATGAAAAAACGAATCAAAGAATCCAATGATGCTCATATCATAGCCATATAATAATGAGAAGAATGGAAAAAGATTGAACAAACCGAACATCACACACACACACAGACAGAAAAAAATGAACAGAATTTTCATGAATGAAAATATGTAAATATTATGCATCATCAACAACAAACAACATCGACGACGACAACAACAACTACGATGAACAACAACAACAGAAATCATTACCATCAACAACAACAACAACAACAACAAAACATTGATGATGACAGAATGAATGAATGAAAAAATAGATGAAAGATAGAGAATGAATGAATGAAGAAGAAAGAAGATGAACAACAAAAAAACATACAGAAAAAATGTATGTATATGAACATGGTGAACATCATCACTGTTGATGTTGTTGTCGATGATGATGATGATGTCGATGAAAATATCCGGTAAAAGCAAAAGAAAAGATTTTTTTTTTATATAAACGCTTTTTGCTTATTTGTAAATTGTTTTTTGTGTATATATTTAACACTCCGACATACACCAAAGATTCTTGTTTGAAAAAAAAAATTCTGATGAATAAAAAAAAAACTAAGTGAACATAACAACAACAACAACAACGATTTTTTTCCTTCTTCGTCGCTTTTGTCTGTGAAGATTTATAAATTTTTTGATCGGAAATAAATGATTCTTTCGACAAAACCATTGGCATAAACACAGTGATATTGTCAAAAAAAAAAATTTGTTTTTCAATTGAATTAGATGGGCGAAAAACTAATAAAACCCGTACAGAAATGACGTTACCGTGATTTGTGTTTTCCGTTTTTGTTTTTTGTTTCCGAAATATTTTCTTCAATTTCATCCCCTTGTTTTCAGTGGAAAACTTTTCTGTTTTAGTTTTGTTCGACGACATTTTTGTTTTTGTTTTTGTTTTTCAAAAGTTTTTGTTTCAAAAATCATGAATTCATTTTGTGTGCCATTTTTTAACCCCGGAATAAACATTGCTAAGAGCTAAGATCCAGAAAATACAAACAAACAAACAAATGTCAGTGTTTAACCAGAAATAATGTTTCCTATTTAAAGTTTTAAAGAATTTTTTCCTTGATAAGAATTCTGTAACCCGGAAAAACGATCATTTTTCAGGTTCAATGCAACAACAACAACAACGATAAAAAATTTACATACAAAAAATCTTTTCGTTTGAAATGTCGTCAATGTATTTTATTCGGTTTTTCTTCATGGGAAAACAGAATTTAATTTTAGAAAATGAAAACAAAACTGGCTTTGAATGTGGTTAGTCATTGGGATTTTAGCTATAAAATCAACAATCAACTATTTCGCCATCATCATCAACTTTATCGCCACAGTTTTGTCGATATAGTCAATTCATTTTTTTTTTAAAATTTATCAATTTTAAATAATTTCAAATTTTTTTCCGGTTCAATTATTTCCCTATTGAATCCATTCATTCATTCATTTTCCCCCTCACACAGTCACTTATCTGAATTTTTTTTTTTTTGGTTTTTGTTCCCATGTGCCCAAACACGCAAATACCAGAATTCCGGACAGAATCCTTGGTTATAATGTGAAATTGAAAATGATGAAAATGAATTTTAATTGAAAAAGAAAAAAAAATAAATTTAAAATTCATCATCCAAGGCAATGAAAACCATTCACGCACTTTTAAACCATTTTTTTAAAGCTATGAATTTCTATTTTACATATTTTCTTTTTTTCAAATAAAAAAACTTGGCTTAATCATTATTAATGGTTCGATTAACACATTCAAGATTGAATGATTATCATGATGATGATAATCCGAGGGAAATTTTTCGGGAAAAAAACTGAGAAATTTAATAGGAAAAATGAATAATCACAAAGAATTATCATTGAAACTGGTTTGATATTGACAATATTCTATATTTCGGTTGATTTTCCAAGAGTTTGTTTATGAACGGAAATTAGATTTCGCTTTTCCGTTCCGGTATCAAACAACAACAACAAAAATGGAACATTTCAAAAATGACATGAAAAAAAAGTTTCCGAGAAATTTTCCTAAGAATTTATCTATCTATTCATATCCAATCTATCATCATCAGTTGCTGCATCAGTAACTACCCCTTTCTTATCGAACAGATTTATGAGAAAACAAAACTGAAAATTTTCCAACGAATCAATCACAGAAAATTGGTTGAAATTTTAAAGTGCTTGAAGGTTTGTGTGTGTGTGTGTGTTTGCCACAATAATGTATTTTGAAAATAATTTTCTATTGTTTTTTCCGACAAATCTTATTATTTCAATCAATGATTTGTGCGTTTGTTTTGTGCGAATCAACACTTATCATTGGGCACCGGAATTTTCCCCGGAATTTTATCAATTTTTTTTTGATAGCCGCAATCATGAAAGTCCATTTTTCCCAAACAACAAAACAAAAAATTAATTTAATTTTTCTTGTTTTTACATCACTATAAATGTTGATTAATTTCATTTTCGACCGAAATTTTTTTTTGTTTCAAAAAAAATTTCATTGATTTAATCAATGAATGTTGTGCAAAAAGTGAAAAATTTCGGAAACAAAATAATAAAAATAAAAAATTTTATGTGTTTTTTCCGGAAATTTTCCCGAGAAATTCCTTTTTTGATCATTTTTCATTTTTTTTCATTTCATTGTTTCGGTTTGTTTCACAAATGAATATAATTAAACTATCCAAATGCTGCTGTTGTTGTTTAATTTCATCAGTGAAAAAATTCTTGAGAATTTTGTCCACGGAATAAATTTTTGGAGGGGGGAAAGAGAGAAACTTTCCAGAAAAATTTATTACTAAAAAATTTAAATTAAAAACTTTTTTACACGCAATTAATTATAATGAATTTTTCTGTTTTTTTTTTCTAATTTTTTAATTTGTTTCCAGTCATATCCATGTGATCTTCATCAAATCAATCTGAATATGATAATCATTGATATCAAAACATCATCTTTATTCTAATGTCAACGAATCGGTAAGAAATAATGAGAAGAAAACAACGAAAAAGACGATTATTATCATTATTATCATCATTATCATCATCATTACCACCAATATCATTATCGATGATTATAATTATAATTTTATTATATCAACAATTATTGATTGGTGGTATTAATGCAATGGCTTCCAATCCATATGTATCTGGTATGTATTTTTTTCCCTTGAAATTCTGTTTTTTGAACTAAATTTCACTTCATCAATGGTCTATGTGATCTTGTTCTTCTTTGGCTTTACATTTTTTGGTTGTTTTACCAGACCAGAAATGAAAAACAAAATTTTTCGAATTTTTTTTTCCTATGAAAATTGTGTGTTTACTTTGGAGAAAAACAGTAAATTTTTATCTAACAATCATTTTGTTTGTTTGTTTTTTGAATGTGATTCAAGAATTTCTGATCAGATGGTTTGTCGTTTTGTCAATTTTGATTTGTTTTTTTTTTCTGAGAAAAATATTTCCATTTCTAATCAAAATATCAAACAAATGTAAATAAATAGTTTGAATATTGAAACTTTCTTCTTTCCCTTATTTTTTCAAATAAATTTAGGCAATGAAAAAAATCAAAAATTATTCAACTGGACTCAAAATGTTAGTCAATCTTTTACTTAATTAATTGCTAGAATAATGATAATCGATAATCGGTTCTTCTTCTTCATCATTGATAATTTGATCAAATTATCGATATTGATGTTTATTTTTCCCGATCAAATGATCCATAAAAACACATTACACTATTGCAATATAGCCATTTGTCCTTCAGAAACTTTGATAACGATCCACCATTGATGATAATGATTTTCCAGTGGTTAAAATGACCAAATTGACCTTTTTGTTTCATTCTCATCATTACCCACTACTATTATGCAATCAAATTACTATTAAATCAGATAGAGTAAATTAAGTAACATCATCAAAAAAAAAAATTCTCGTAATTGTATGGTTAGTCTGGGTTAAATAATAATGTAATAGACAACGGATGTTCCAAGTAACACACAATTATCATCATTATCATTACATAATATTGATGTTCGATAATGATTATTATAATCATCATTGTCAAACATCCTTTTTTTGCCATTTAAATTAATTACATATAAAAATGACCAAATTCAAGAACATTGATTCGATGTTTTCAATCATCGATTCGTTATTGCATATTTTTCAATCACCATTCACTATTTATTTCATTCTCAAGCCTTTTTTCATTCGTTTATTAATAATAAATTTTTATGTTTGTTTATCGGATTCTAACCCTTCATTTCAATTCCTTTGTTCCAAACAACAACAACAAAAAAAATGTTCATTTTCGGTCCAAAGAATTTGGCCATTCAATGATTTTCATTCATTCATTCATTCAGTTAACCATTTACAATCTAGAGCCACATTTATTTCCAAGCAAAAAAAACAAAAACAAAACAAACATAAGAATTAATCTGGCCATTAAGTTTGTTTTGTTTGCTTGTTATGTTTGGTCATTTTCTTTTTCTTTTTTCGTTTCTTGTATTGCATATTCTTTAACTAACGATAACGATACTGAAATTTTGACTGTTATTTTTTCTTCTTTATATTCATCTTCAAAATGATGTTTAATTTCTTTTTTTTTCGCTGTTTTCCACCCATTCATTCATTCATTCATTGTCTTTCAATAACATTTAATATTTTCTTTCTTTTAATTCATTGCTTTTTTCTCTTTCTCAATTCCTCTTCTCTTTTCCAAACTCCCAAAAACAAAATCAACAATTTTTCTTCCTCTCCATAATAATAATCGCTTCTGCCATTGGTGATGCTATTCTGCTGCTGCTGTCCAATTTCATTTGGATTTTCATCCAAAAAAAAAATTCACTACATTCATTGTTTGATGATGTGAAATTAAACTCATTCTCATCTTTCACATTATATATTTGTGATATATGAAAAACAAAACAAAACAACAAAAAAAATAACAACAAGGAATTAAATTACCCGGAAACCAAATCGAGGATCAAACATGTAAGTGTATAATATAAATGATAATAAATAAATATTTCCGATTTTTCTCTTCTTCATTCATTCATTCATTCATTTCGTTTGTTTTGTTTTGTTTGTTGTTACTGTTTCTGATTGGCAATGTTATATAAGCCGGTGTTTCATTTTTCTCATTTTTGTTGTTGTAATATGACCTTTTGTATCTTATGTTTTTCTACTTATCTTTGATTTTGGTAGTAATTTTTTGTTTGTTTGTAATCACGGTGCATGTTTTATGTCATTTTATCTGTTCAATTTTTCTCCATTTTGTTGATTTACATTGTTGATTTGCATTCGTTTTTTAAATTTTTTTTCCCATTTTATTTTTTAGTTTATGGTGAAATAAAATCATTGATTGGTGGCCGTGTAGAATTGCCTTGCAATTTAACTTTGCCTTCATCAGACGATGCAATACAATTAATATTTTGGCATCGTGGTAATAATACACGTGTGCCTATCTATACAGTGGATGGACGAGCTTCACAAACATTATCAAATGCAACACATTTTTTAAGTGATATTTTTCAACCAAATCGTGCCATATTTAATCTACAATCAAATCCATCAAAATTAATTATTGATCCAGTATTTGAAACTGATCATAATGACTATCGTTGTCGTGTTGATTTTCGTTGGGGTCGTACAATCAATTCATTTGTTACACTTCATGTTATAGGTAAATAACAATATATAATATTTACCCAAACTGAAAACTGAAAAACTGACACAGACACCGACATACAGACACAGGAACAGGATATAATTAACCAGGAATAATAAGAAAATTCCTTGGAAACATTTGATTAATTTAAGAAAAAATTTCCGTTATTCATTTCCTTGGTAATCAATCATCTTTTTCATACATTTGTTGAACCACAAATTCAATGAATGGAATTTCTCTTTTTTCATTCTTTTTATCTTTATTTAAACATCACAATAATGATGATGATGATGAGAATATAAAGGCAAAACTTGACTCACAAGATCCACCAAAACCCAAAAACAAACACACACACACATTTGGAAAATGAAAAGTTAGTTTATTCTATTTTTTTTAATGGAAACTTTGTTGTTGTTTGCATTAAATTAATGATTTTTTTCTTGTTTTCTGTTTCATCAGAAATTTTCTGGAAAAGAAACTTTATCAAAAAGTTTTTTTGTTTTTTGAAAATTATTAGCTATGTTGTCAAAAGAGAATTAGTCGAACAACAACAACAAAAAACAATATTTTTTTCTTCGCAGAATCATCTTAGCTAATTAATATTAAGGAATAATCAATTAACAAAGTGAGAAAAAATTGGATCAACTTTTTTTTCAGATTCAAAATCTTTGAGACACACACGCACACAGAATCAATATTTTCCTTAGTTAACCCTTTCTCATTAATGAAAGTTTTTTTTTCTCACCATCGAATATTCTAATTTGATGTACTGATCAATCAAATCTAATTATGTTTTCTCACTTTCACATACAGTGCCTCCAAAAAAGATAACAATTCGTGATCAAAATGGAAATTATATTGAAAATTCAACAATCGGTCCATATGATCAGAATACTGATGTTATATTAACATGTGAATCGAATGGAGGTAAAGTTTTTTTTTGAAAAAAATTGATTTATTTTGATTTGTTTTGTCAAAAAATTTATAATTGAAAAACTAACTAACTAGGTATACCACCTCCAACATTACAATGGTATAAAAATGGTGTTATGATCGATGGTTCATATATTGTCAGTGATAATGGTTTAGTTTCAAATGAATTAATTATTTATAAAATATCAACACATGATTTATATGATAAATATGTTTGTCAAGCTGGTAATTATAATAGTTCATCAACAATACCAATCGAAGCTTATGTTATATTGGATATTAATTGTAAGTAAAAAAGAAGAAAAAAAAAGATAATCTGCAATTGGATTTACTGTCTTTTTTGTTTGTTTGTTTCTTTCATTCTTTCATTATAAAAGTATTACCAATCGATGTACAAATATTGACAAATCGTACAAAATTATTAGCTGGACGTAAAATTGATATAAATTGTCAAACATATGGTTCAAAACCGGCTGCAATTATAAAATGGTTTCATAATGATAAACAATTAATAACACCGAATTCAATTGAATCATATGAATCGAATAAAACATTTAGTTCAATAACGTTCAAGCCAACTGTTTATGATAATGGTTCATTATTAAAATGTCGAGCTTATAATCCTCGAATTCAATTGAATAAAAAATTTTCAACAACAACAACAACAAATACAACGGCAACGATAACAGCAGAAAACATTGATGATGAAAATCGAAATTATATCGAAAGTATTTGGCGATTAGAAGTACTTTGTAAGTTGAAAAAATTCATTTGTTCTTTAGTTTTTTTTCATTACGAAACAAAATCAAATTCAAATGAAATTGAAAGCGAGAGAATATTAATTATGTACTAAAGAAGTACACACACACAAGGAAAGAAGTACAATGGAAATTTTTTTTACCGAAAAGTTTCTCAGTTTTACCGAAAAAATTCTTCTTTCTCCATACACAATCATAATTATAGATTTTCGATTTTTTCGTTAACCGAAAATCGATTTGAAATTTTTTTTTTTGTGAAATCTTTTCACAAAACGACTATACTATACTTTTTCTTCAATTGTGTTTTTTTCCATTCAGAATTTTCAGTTTTTCATAAGACAAAAGGGTTTTCTTCTTCTTCTTCTGGTTGGAAAACTACTTTATTACCAATTTTGTTTCATTTTTTTGTTCCGTTGTAAGTTTCCATTATTATTCGGTTTCTTTTCTTTGGAAAATTTCGATTAATCAAAAGAAAGAAAAGAAATGTTCAAAGGTTTTATCATCATCATCATGATCAAGTTGAAAAGAAAAGATTCTTCTAGTTTTTTCTTTGGTTATTTCAAGAAATTCAACTTGAATTTGTTTTCTTCTACCCATTCTTCTTCCCTATTCTTTTTCCATTGTTCCAAAAAAACATTTTCATTTTTCAAACATTTCTTTTTGCTTAAACAAAGATGAACTCTACTTGTGTTCATTTCTTCAGGCCATCCAAATATAACCCAAGGAATCTGTTTGCATTGATTTTTTCTTTCTTTTTTCTTCTTTTTTGATTGGTTATTATTTTCAATATTTTTTTTTTGCTTTTTTAAAACAAAAAAGTTTCCAAAATTCAAAACAAAGAAAAAAAAACTTTTCCATAATCTTAGCTTTGTTGGTTGTTTTTTAAATCCACCAATGATAATGATGGTGGTGGTGGTGGTGGATAATGAATGGAAAATAATTAGCTTTGTTTTATTCGGTTGTTGTTGTTGCTATTGTTATTTTCAATATTTGGTAATTAGATTTCTCTACTGCTGCTTCTGCTTCTGCTACTGTTCAGTTCAGTTTTTTCCCCTAATTAATAGAATCAATTAATTATTATTATGATGAAACTTTTTTTTCACACTTTCACTAGGTGGATGGATGGATAGATGATGTTTGTTTTCAGTTGTTGTTGATAAATCTGATTATTTAATGAAAATTGAAATTTTTTTTTTGTGTTTCACTTGGTGTTTCGTGTTTGTTTTCTGATTCTTTTTGGATTTAACCAATTTATCATCACACACATATAGTGAAATCTAAAACTTTTATTATCATTATTTGTTTGGTTTGCTGCAAATCAGATCAAGTTTTGTTTTGGATCTTGTTTGATACAATGTTTATTTTCTGCTTGGTTCGCCAAATAACAAACATCATCTATCTTTTGTTCATTTTTTAAAATTGAATTTATTTTTTCATTTTTCATTTTCTTGGTGTTACACATTGGAAACATAGTTTTCTGGAAAATTACCGAAAATTACTTGTCCAGTTACATGTGTGTGCGTGTGCGTTCGTGTGTAAATACAGTAAACATTGTCAATAATTTTCGGGAAAATTTCCAAAACTTGAAAAGCATTTTAGAATCACTGTAAAAGCAAAAAACCAAAAAAACATTTGACCACAGAGAATATCAACCAAAAAAAACTATGATGATGAACATCACTTTCTCCTATTCACTCTCCCTCTCTTTGTATATGATTATAACTTAATCCATCATTGTTTCAAGGCTGATTGTCATTATTATTATTATTATTGTCCGAAGAGTTTGTTGTTGGTTGGCTACTAGAGATTTATTTATTTTTTCTGGTTCTGGTTGCTGTTGTTGTTGTTTCACAATAACGATTCAACCAGAATAATAATAATCGATCATTTTTCTTCCCTTTCCCTTCATCGTTGATGGTACGTTCATTCATCGTTTGTTTTTGCTTTGTTTCAAACCAGAGGAACAAAAAAAAAATGTTTAATCACTGAATACATAGCATAAAACACAAAGCTTTGTGTGCTATTGAATATTGACCAAAGCAAGTGAGAGAGATTTCTATCTAGGTTTTTCTATATTGAAAACTAGATCAATTTGATGATTTTTTTTCCCTTTTTTTTCAAAAAAAAAAAAAAAAAAAATATTTTTTTGGTTGACTGGTTTGGCTGACTAGAAAAAAAAAAAAAATTACATATTGTTGTTGTCGTTTGCTGAAACAAAAAAATAACCATGTGATTTTTATTTTTTCAGTTAATCATCATCATAATTAATAATTATCATATTTTGCTTGCTGGCTAGCATGTCATATATGATGTTAATCTGTTCTGGATTCTATAGTCGATCAATGATCATTTGTGTGTGTGTGTGTGNTTCCTAGGTTTTCCTATTTTGAAAACTAAATCAATTTGATGATTTTTTTTCCCTTTTTTTTCAAAAAAAAAAAAAAAAATATTTATTTGGTTGACTGGTTTGGCTGACTAGAAAAAAAAATATAATTACATATTGTTGTTGTCGTTTGCTGAAACAAAAAAATAACCATGTGATTTTTATTTTTTCAGTTAATCATCATCATAATTAATAATTATCATATTTTGTTGGCTGGCTAGCATGTCATATATGATGTTAATCTGTTCTGGATTCTATAGTTGCTTCGATCAATGATCATTTGTGTGTGTGTGTGTGTGACAAGAATTTTCATCGAATTCAAACAGCAAAAATTTTCGATGAAATTGAATTGATGATATTGTGTTTTTTTTCCATACAAAAAAAAACCCGAATAAATCATTTGAATGAATAAATGAAAATTGATTCTTTTTTTTCTCTCTCTCATTCACATGATGATTATGATGATGTTTACGATGTTCTCATCTTCCCAATCAACAGCAACAACAACAACCTAATTCTATTCAAATGTATTCATTATTCGCAAAAATGAAAAAATTCTTTGCCATTTTTTTTCTCTCTTTTTTTTCTTGATATTCTATATAAACAAAGAAGAAGAATAAGGGTTGGCTACTTTTTTATTTATCATCATCATCATAATGATATTTTATACCAGTAGCCAGAATTCTGTTTGAAAAAAAAAGAGAATCCCAAGTCTCAACTATCATAATCATCATCAGCCTACCCTGCAGGAAATGTTAAATAAGAGAAAGCAGAAAAGAAAAAAAACTTTTTTTCTGAAAACACTTTCCTACTTTACTTTTCCAGAAAAATTTCTAATATAATTAATGATTAATTATTACATCATCATCATTATTAATGATTATTATTATTATTATTTTGATGATCATCGTCTTCTTCTTTTTCTTCTTCTTCGTCGTAGTCGTTTTTCATCGTTGAAATAATTTTTCATATGCATGTTATCATCGTTTTTCTCTCTTTTGCTTGCTTGCTACAATTAAATGATCCTTTTCTTTTTTCGTCTTTTTCTTTTCTCTATGATCATCATCACATCCTGGGGACAAATATAAGCTTTTTTCTTCTTCTTCTTCTTCTCTCGTTGTAAAAGTGTAATATTCAATCGATCAGCATAAAGAGAGAGAGAGAGAGAGAGAGAGAGAGAGAGAGAGAGAGAGGGAAAGCGAAACGACAATGACAACATTGAGAAATAAATNAAAAAAAAAAAAAAGGGAGAGGGAAAAGAAGAAAGAGAAAAAAAGAGAGAGAGAGAGAGAGAGAGAGAGAGAGAGAGAGAGAGGGAAAGCGAAACGACAATGACAACATTGAGAAATAAATAAATCTGCTTGCTGTTTGAAAATAGTTTCTTCTTGTTGGATGAATCCTATTTCGATGCAAAAAAAAATAACTCTTTACTTCTTTTTTTTGCCATTTGACTGTCTCGATTTTTTTCTTGTTTTTTATGGATTTCATGATGGAATTCAACGAGAAATGAATGCTGGGATACAATCCACCCGATTATCATCATCAATAATAGCCACCATGTATAAGAATTTCTTTCCATATGAGAAATATCATTTACTTTGATTTTTTTTCTACAATCATTTGAAAACATTGCTAAGAAAATATTCTTCTTCTTTTTCTTCTAAATCAATGAGAAAAAAGAGAATATTCATCATCCATTTACACTACACATTTACATTGGATAAAACAAATTTTATTACAAAATTATATTCTTATACATTACATGTACATTCTATCTATCTTGGTAGTTATTTTTTCCCCTTGATTTTTGATAGATTTCATTTTTGGTAGCCGGAAAAAAAAATGTTTCTACTAAAAGTAATGATGATGATGTTCTGGTGATCTTCTTCTTCTTCTTTGTTTTTATTCCATTCATCCATCCATTCATCTATCCATTCTCTTCATCAATATGTCTTCATTAATTTATTTTAACATCAATTTTTCTGTTGCATTTTTCTCCCTATAACATCTTTCATTTACAAATCGAACGTTGATAAACGCGTCTGGAAAGATTTTTCTCTTTCTATAGATATCTATGATCACATTGGACTTACTGGTTTTTTTTGAATAGAAAAAGAAGAAGAAATTTCTTGGGAAAATAAGATTTTCCGCAATATTTCTCTCTCAACCAGATATTCCATTGATTTTATCTTATCTTCTTTTTTTTTTGGTTGTTATTATCGTCATCATCATCATAATGATGATGATGATTATAATGATGATCAAATTGTTGTTTGTTTGGCCATGTTTTTTCACAAAAAAATTACATTAAGCAAAAACATTATTGAAACAAAAAAATCCCAGTAGTTTTTTCTTCCTTCCCGTTCATCATTAACCGGATTCAATATATATTCCTAATCAATCAATCAATCAATTTTGCTGTTTTTATAATTTTATTTAATTATAAAGCAAATTACAAACACGATGATTGATTTTCAATTGATTTTCAATTGACTTTTTTTTCCATATATGTAATGCAACAACAACAACAACAACAACAAAAAGAAAAAAGTCAACTTCACTGCATTGCTTTTTCGTTTTTTGTTTTTCTGTTTTTATCATTCATGCTTATCTTGCTGTTCAAATTCAAATAAATAAATAACAGCTAGGCTTAACTCTTGTCCAGATTTTTATATCAAGAATCATTTCTGTCTATCGGTCTCTGTGTCTGTGTATGGTGTGTGTGTGTGTATGATTGAACATCTGGTATCCGAAACAATTTTTGTTTCTTCTTGTTGTTTTTCGGGAATTCAGATTTCTTTTCTTTGCTTTTCATTTCATTTGTTTGACCTGTTCATTTGGAAGAAAAAAAAAGCAGTAAAACTTTTGTTATGGCTGTTGTTGTTGATGTTTTTTGTTTTCGCATGAAAAATGTCCAAACACAAAGATTGATCATTCGAATTCAAATCTTTTTCCATTGAAATCAAATATTTTTTTTAAATTCGAGAATTTCTTCAGACACAAAGAATATGATAAAACAAACAAACGAAATTATCATATCGCTTCTTTACATTGATCATCATCATCAAAACATCAACAAATTTTTTCTTCTTTTTTTTCATCGTTTCAATGATTTCAATTCCAAAAACATCAATCACTTTTTGTTGTTGTTGTTGAGAAAAAATTCAGTGAAAAAATACTGATGTTTCAAGATGCTTTTATCAATTTGATTCATTCATTCATTCAGTTGTTGTTTTATCGATTTTTTCCCCTGTTTTGTTTTGTTTTGTTTTGCACCCATTCACTTTCTTTTAGTTTTGTTCTTTTCAGCCAAAGCTAAACTAAATGAATAAATAGAATGAACGATTGAATAAACACATCACACAGAATCTCCTTTCCCTCCTCGAACCAGACCAGAAAAAAATCCCATTATCGTTATTCATATGTTTTATTATTATTATTGTTGTTCAATAAGATTTTCCTTTGAAATTTGGCTATTTCTACAGCAAAAACCACTTTGTTTTTTGTTTTTTTCTTTCGTTAAAAGCATTCAAAAGAAAAAAATTTCTGAATTTAAATTTTTTTTTCTTTGCTTCCAAAAAACAAAATAAATATCAATCATGCAAAGGATTTAGCAAAGAATGTTTCATTATTTGATAAGTGATTCGTTTGTCGTCGTCGTTGTTTTTGACTTTTTGACTTTTTTTTCTGACTAATACCCGCAGGTATCACTGATCGTTAAATGTGTCGAACTTTTATAGCATTCATTTTTGGCTGTCGATTAATCGAATGACATTCAAAAAAGTTTAAATTTTTTCGAAGGAAATTTCAAATTTGCAAACAAAAATCAATTATTGACAAGGTAAATGTCAATCGATTGATGATTGATATAATCTATGGTTGGTAATCATCCAAAAGCAAGGTTGTTCATTTTCACTCGGTTATCGTCATAATAACCGTCGTACGATCATCTAATTTTCCTTGAAATGACTAGAGAAAGTGTAGAAACAACAACAGCAACGAAAAATGAAAACTTTTAATGATAAAGGTTAACGGTATTTATTGAAACGAAGAGAAAGAAAACCTTGATCGGTTTGAATTTTCGATTTTTCTTTATCTTCTTGCTGTTGTTGTTACCCAAAAACAATATTGACTGACTGAAACTTTTTTTTTGTTTTTTTTATCGACACATAAAATGTTTCCATTAAATTCCAGCAAAACGAGCGAATGAAAAAAAAGAAAATTGAATTTTCCAAAAAAACTTTTTTGTTCAACTTTTTTTTCTCGGGAAACTCTGGGAGAAAAAAAAAGTTTAATTTTTAAATCCGATTTTGTTTTTTCGTTATTTTTTTCTGGTTCAAAAAGCCAAAAAATAATCTTTTGTTTTCATTATAAAATTCTTTTTAAAACCGTAAATAGATAGCCCTCAAGTTATATTACGAATTCGTAAATTCAACAACAACAACAATAATAATGATCAACATTCAATGTCATCATCTTCAACATTACCGACATCGACTACGACTACCATTATGCCATTATCAATATCATCACCAACAACAACAATGATGGTCATCAATGAACAAACAACATTATTGATTGAATGTTTTATCAATGCAAATCCATCATTGGTTGATGTACAGATTTTACATAATTCAACCATTATACAGTTGAATAAACAATTAGGTAAGTGTTTTTTTGATATTTTTTCATTGTTTCTGTTTGCGTTTGTTTGATTTTTTTTTCTACCATCTTTTTTTTCATTATTTTTTTGTTGTTGTTGTTGTTGCTGTATGCATAAATGTTTCAACAACAACAACAAACAACAACAAACATTATCATTATCATTGTTCTTTCAACCGTTTTTCGAAACAGGAAGCAACCAAAACAAAACAAAACAAAAACATGGTGATGATAACAATATTATCATTTGACATTTGGTTGCTGTTGTTGTTGTTGTTGAAAGACAAAAAACAACAACAACAATCTCTTCGAGATTCTTGAGAATTCCTGACAAAAAAAAAAGAAAGATGTTCATGTATATCATTCAATTTTTTTCTGTTTTGTTTTGTTTTTAACTATTTCCACTTCTATGGCTCTATTGTTGTTGTTTTTAGTGATAGTGTTAGAATAGATTATGATGATGATATCATTTGCCTTATTCTCATCATTTTATTTTATTGTTATTTGGTCAAAATCCAGCTTATTTTGAATGTTTGTATACCGAATGCATCTTTCTCTCATTTTATATTTTTCATAAACCATAATCTTTTTTCTTAAGAACAAAGAGGCAAGAATTTCTTGTTGTTTCTTAGATCATCATGGAATTCTTGTTGTTTTCATTTTTAAAGAATCTTCTGTCTCCTCCTACTTTTACTATTATTTTCGTCTACTGTCTCATTTTAAACTTTTTTGTTTAAAGTTTTTTTTTTCTCAGCAGTTTTTGTTGTTGTTGTTAACGTCATTGAATCACTGTTATAACTGAAGGTTTTTTTCCGGATAAATGGATAAAAATAGCATGTAATTTTTTTCCCCCTTTTTTTCCTGAAAAAAAATGCTGATTTTCCCTTCTTCTTTCCCAAGTGTTAAGTTTCCAATTTCATTTCTTTTTTCACTACCTTTTCAATTTGTTTTGTTGCGTGCGTAAAACAAAGCAAAAAATCGAAAAAAAAACACATAGAAATGGAAAACATGTTGTTTCATAATCATTGACTGGATAACTGAATTCAATGGAAAAATTATAAGAAAAAAAAGCAGCAACAAGATTAATTAGATTCGGTAAAGAATATATATGAAGAACAAGGAAGGATAAATACTTGAATCGTTAAAAATGAATGATAATTATCATTCATTTTGTTGTGTTGTTTTGTAAAGAAAATTTTCATCCAATTTCAATGATTCATTTTGGTCTCCTTTTTGTCTTAATGATAAAATTAATTATTAAAATTTTAATCAATATTTGTTTAGTTTTGGATCTTTGTCAACAAACAAACACTGTCTTTGTTTCTTTTCTTTTTTTTTGTTGATGATAATCATCAAAATGATCAATTTTTCGATTTACAAAAAAGTCAAACAACAAAATTACACCTATTGAATTATTGAAAATCTTTATTTCTTTTCATCGTTGTTTTCTCTTTTGCTTTTCTTTTGCTTTCCAAAGTTCCCCAAAAAAATTAATCTTGTCGACAATGATGTTCAATCGATGATGATCATTTCGCATCGATGGTATACTTGAAAAGTTTTTGTTTTTTTATATCGTTTTTCATAGACAAAGTGTACATCTTGTATACATTAAATTCATGAGACAAACATCAGAGGGCAAAAGAGAGAATATAAAAAACTAAACAATTAGTAATTATCAGATGATAATGGTTAGTGCAGGAAAAAAAGACTGACTGACTGAAACAACAACATTTTGTTGTTGTTGAATAAAACATTCAAAATGTAATGTGTGTATAAAGAAAGAGAGAGCGAATAACTTAAGAATTATCATCAAACAAACAAACAAATGGAAATGTTCAAAATGGAAATGGACTTGGATAAAATTGATGAAACAAACAAAAAAAACTTGATCGAAAAAAAATGATAATTTTCATCATTATTTTGGGTAGCAAATAAAATAAAAAATTTCCATACTTTTCTTCTTCGAATGGAATATATTTGTTGTTACCTAAGCGACAAAACAATTTGCAATTGTTTTTTCTTGTTGTTGTTGTTGTTGTTGAGTTGTCATTTTGATAATTGTCAAGTTTTTTTTCTTAACTTTCATTCTAAATATCCATTATTCTATTCTCGCTTTGGGTTCCTTATAATTTGTTTTTCGTAATCATTTAACATTTATTTCATTAGGATTTTGGTTCCTTATAATTTATAATCGTTTGCTTGATGAGTTTACAACTTTTTTTCTGAAAATTTTTTCATTAAATTATGAAATATTTTTCTGGTTCTTCCTGAAAAAGAATTTCTTCATCATTCATTTTTTTTTTTTTTTTGGTTGTTGTTGCTGATGGAGAAAAAATCAATAATTTTCTTCACTTTCATTGTTTTTCCTGTACTTTTTAAGACGGATATTTTGGTGAATCGCACTCTGTGTGAATTCTGTATTCTGTCAATTTACAAAAAGACCAAAAAAAAAAAAAATTTCAAAACCAACTTGATTCAATTGATCATTGATATTACATTTGATAGGTAGTAGTGTCACAAAACAGAACAAACAAACAAACAAACAAACAAAAATGTTTTATCGAAAAATTGTTACAAATATTATACATTTGATTTGGCCAACAATAAATTATTATTTTCAAAGTATTGCTTATATAATCAATCGTATTGAACAAAATGATAATAATTCAATAATTCGTTTAAAAAATTTATTAAAAATTTATCTACCAATTTCATGTATTCGTTTCTTTCTACTATATTTTCTACCATTAACATATAATCAACGTTTATTACTATTTGATATATCAATTTTTATGGATCTTACACCTGAATATAATCTAATATGTTCATTAGCAGCATTCAATGCATATTATGTTATACGGAATTTTTTTTCCATTGAAATTTGTCATTTAAATATGATTTTTATTAAATCGGTTATGAAATCAATAAATAATCCCGAAAATAATGATCAATCAATTTGTCGTTATCTAAAAATTCATCTTTTACGAAGAAATATTGAAATATTTGTGCTATGTTTATTGTTTACATATGCATCAACATTTTATCTTTATAAATATCTTCAAATTAACCAGGAATTTTTTTTCAATCCTAATCATCCGCATTGGTTAAATTATTTGAAAATAATATCATTTGAATTGAATAATATACTAACACTAATCGATGGTTATTTCATTATACATTTAGCTGAATTGATTTTTTTATTCATATTTGGTTTTAGTTTTATAATATTTCATCGTTATCCAAAAATTTCTAAACAAATTGATCATTTAAAATCCGAGAAAATAACAACCAAATTAATTTGGAAATTTTTACATCAAAATTGCCGATTATTTTTATTGGTTAATCGTGTAACGAAAATTTATTCTAAATTTATATTCATATTAATTGTTTGGTTTTTACCTGGTAATCTTTATCTTGTTCCTATGATTTTTATACAATCACAAAAAATCAGTCATAATAATCAAATTAGTAATCATAATATATTTCGTTTATTATTATTTTCAATGTCATCACTTATTCATCATATGGGTCTATTTGTTATACATTATATTTGTACACAATATCTTCAACGTATACATCGTTCAGGTATACATAGTCTACAACGATTGATTACAATCAGAATGTTTAATCAAACAAAATCATCTGAATCTGAATCAGCATCTGCATCTGCATCTGCATCAACATATGAAAAATTTTCATTACGTTTACAATGGAAAATTGGTTATCATTTGGAAAAATTTCAAACAAAAAAACAATACGGTTTTTCATATGGTCGTTTTGGTTTGATTAATATGGCCGGTTTTGTTCGGGTAATTAAAAAAAATTGTGTTTTTACCATCAAAAACAGAATAAAACTAAATTCATTATTTCTTTTCATCCATACAGTTTTTATTAATCTATGCAAAGATGTTAATGATGGTCTATAAACTTGTTTTAAAATGAATTCCAATGACGATTTCACCAAAATCGATTGATAATCAATGAATTTTAATGAAAAAAACTCAAATTTTTCAATAAAAAACAAAACAAATAAAAAAAAACATTGAAACAAAATTGGGAAAAACAGTCCAATGGTTATTTCGATCGAACCAAAATCAATCGGTTTCGATTTTTTTTTTCGTTGTTGTTGTCTTTCTCATTTCATTTTCTGACCAATTTCTTCTTCTTCTTCTCATTAATCTGCCAATCTTGTTTGAAGATTTTGAAATTGAAACCAACGACAAATACAACTTTTCCCCTTCAAACCAAAAACGAAAACAAATTCACAATTCACATTTGGTAATTTGTTTTTTTTTTTGGTCTTCGGTTTCCAAGTGATGATGATGATGACAATTTTCAGCCAATGAAGAGAAAAAAAATTGGTTTTTTCTTCCATTGAAAATGAATGAAAAAGAAGTATTTCTGGTTTCGATTTTCTTACCCGAAAACAAAATTGTGATAGGCAGAATTGATTTTGGTTTTTTCTCTCTTCATTCTCCTGTTCACACAGAACAATGTCGTTTGGAATTCGTTTCCAATTTGCTAAGGAAGAAAACAAAAAACAAAAAAAAACTTTGACTATTTTTGTCGAAATTCGTTAGAAATCAAGGAAGAAAAAATGAATTGAAATTGAAAATGACTTTATAATAAGAGTTACTATCCTATCAAATGAACTGTGACGATGTGATTTTCTCTCTCTCTTTCTCTATTCTTACGAATCAAGATACAAAACGAATGAAAATAAAAGGAATGAAACAATGGAAAAATATCTAAATAAAATGAATCTGTTAATAATAATCATTTAGATTTGTTAAGAAAGAATTTTCTTTTTCTTTTTACCAACAGCCATAAAAGCAATGTGATGTGATATTATTATTATTTTCTTCATTTCAATAAGCTCGGTTTTATTCATCTTTTTTCTCTTCCTTTTTTAACAAATTCTTAGATAAATTCAAGCTCGAGCCATTTGATTTATAATACACATGGTGTATTTTTTTCTTTTTTCGGTGAAATCTTTTTTTTTG